GGGGGGGGGAAGGGCGGGAAACGGAGCGTGAGGGCGGCGCCGCCAGGGGGCGCTGAGGCCGTGAGGGGAGGGGGCGTGGCCTGCGACAATGGGCGGGGCTTGGGCTGTTGGGTTTTTAAAGTGGGAGGGCGTGGCTTTGTTGAGGGGGCGTGGCTTAAGCGATGTTTTCAACGGGAGGGGCGTGGCTAAACCATCGCTTTTGTGTGGGCGTGGCTTGGGCGCGGTTGTTATCAATGGGAGGGGGCGTGGCTAAACCATCGCTTTTGTGTGGGCGTGGCTTGGGCGCGGTTGTTATCAATGGGAGGGGGCGTGGCTTGGGTGCCGTTGTTGCCAATGGGAAGGGGCGTGGCTTGGGCTCCGCTGATTCCTATAGGCGGACCGTGACGTCACCGCTGCCGGTGACGTCACCGCCCTTTTCTCGATGACGTCATTCCAGAAAAAAAACCCCAAATTCCGGGGGTTTTCCCCCAAAAAAACCCCCGGGATGGACTCGGGGGGATCCAAAGCGCTGCCAGACCCGGTGAGACCAAAACCAAGAATTCTTTTGGGAATTTTTGGGGAATTTTTGGGGAATTTTCGGAGCTGAAATCCCCGAGTTTCCGTAGGCGGACGCGATGACGTCGGACGACTTCGACATCGTCATCGAGGCCATGCTGGAGGCGCCCTACAAGAAGGAGGAGGTGCCGAAATTCCAGCAATTCCCAAAAAATCCGGAGCTTTCTCCGCGTTTCCCCCAATTTTTTCCCAAATATCCCAAATTTTGCCCCGGTTTCGTCCCAAATTTCGGGTTTTTCACTCTTTTTTCCCTCACGGTTTTGGCCCCAGATTTCCCCAAATTTTCCCCAAATTTTCTCAATTTTTTCCCTAATTTTCCCAATTTTCCCCCAAATTTCCTCAGTTTTTCCCAATTTTCCCCCAATTTTCCCCCAAATTTTCCCAATTTTTCCCAATTTTCCCCAATTTTCCCCCAAATTTCCTCAATTTTTTCCTCAATTTTCCCCAAATTTCCTCATTTTGTCCCAATTTTCCCAATTTTCCCCAATTTTCCCCCAAATTTCCTCAATTTTTTCCCTAATTCTCCCAAATTTCTCAATTTTTCCCAGTTTTCCCCCAATTTTCCCCCAATTTCCCCCAATTTCCCCCAAATTTCCTCACTTTGTCCCAATTTTCCCCAAATTTCCCCAATTTTCCCCCAAATTTCCCCAAATTTCTCCAAATATCCTCAATTTTCACAAAATTTCCCCAAAATTTCCTCAATTTTTCGCTATTTTTTTCAAAATTTCCCCAAATTTTCCCCAAATTTCCTCAATTTTTTCCGTAATTTTCCCAAATTTTATCAATGTTTCCCAAATTTTCCCAATTTCCCCCAAAGTTCTTCAATTTTTTCCCAATTTTCCCCAATTTCCCCCCAATTTTCCCCAAATTTCCCCCAAATTTCCCCAATTTTTCTCAATTTTCCCCAAATTTCCTAAATTTCCCCAATTTTCCCCAATTTCCCCCCAAATTTCCCCAATTTTCCCCAAAATTTCCCCCAAATTTCCTCAATTTTACCCCTAATTTTCCCAATTTTTTGCAATTTTCCCCAAATTTACTCAATTTTCTCAATTTTCCCCAAATTTTTTCAATTTGTCCCAATTTTCCCCAGGTTTTCCCAATTTTCCATTTTGGCCCCAAATTTCCCAAATTTTTCCCAAATTTTTCCCAAATTTTCTCATTTTGTCCCAATTTCCCCCAAATTTCCCCGAATTTTCTCAATTTTTCCCTATTTTCCCCAGATTTTTCTCCAAATTTCCCCGATTTCCCCCCAATTTTTCCCAAATTTTCCCATTTTCATCCCAAATTTCCCCCAATTTTCCCTGATTCATTGTAATTTCCCCAGATTTTATCAATTTTATCCCAAATTTTCTCATTTTCCCCAAATTTTCTCCCAAATTTCCCAAATTCCCTGCTTTTCCCCCAATTTTTTTCCCAAATTTTCCCATTTTCCCCCAATTTTTCTCCCAAATTTTCCCATTTCCACCCCAATATTTCCCAAATTTTCACATTTTCCTCCCAAATTTTCCCAAATTCCCTGATTTTCCCCCCAAATTCCCCCCCAGGCCCAGCCCGGCCCCTCCAAGGCCCAACCGGAGCCGCCCCCGGCCCAGGTCAGCAGATCGGGGAATTCGGGGAATTTGGGGAGAATTTGGGGAATTTTGGGGGAATTTTGGGGAGAATTTTTGGGGGGAATTTGGGGAATTTGAATTGGGGGGAATTTGGGGAGAATTTGGGAAATTTTTGGGAATTTTAGGGGGAATTTGGGGAAT